ATGATTTCGGCTTGCCGATTCTTTTTGTCTAGCCTCAGGCGCTCGACCCGTTTTTTGGCCGCCGCATACTCAGTTAGGTGATCATTCCCGCCTGACTCGAAGTCCCTCGCAAGTTCAGAAGCAATGACCGACCGGCATTTTGCTAGTTCGGCCATCTGACGGTCGAGCTCGGCTAACGCTTCTCCTTTTGCCCGTAGATCGTCAATCTTCGGACGGAGGGTGTCTTGAACGGCCGTGGCGGCTTGCAGGTCCTGTTCGGCCTTCAGAGCAGTCTGGAAGATGCCAAATGTCTCCCGAACGCGCTCCAAAGCAGACGATGCCCGAACAATGGCATCTCCGCTTAGGCGACCGTCGGCCCCAAGGTCGTTCAGACACACGCCGAGCAGATCAAGACCGTTGCGCTCAAGTACTTGCGATGAAGAGAGCGACAGGACTTCTCGCAACTGGGTTAGGGCGCTTGGATCGGCAGCCTCAGTTGGAGCGGCCGAAGGGCCGGACTCTGCAGTCGTACTGGAGAGGAGAGCTTTGAATTCAACCTCCCATGAAGCCTGCACGAATAAACAAGGTTAAGCTTAAAGGAAGTCATGACAAGAATAGCAAGAAGGTGTCGTTTTTTTAACCTGCTGAGAGGAGACCTCGGCCATGTCCCCAGGGTCGTTGCTCGAACCTAAAGAACTCAATGGCCGAGCCCAGTGTCTCAGATTGCTTCTCACTTCACGAGGCCGATGGAGGTTATCTACGTTTGATGGCCACTGAGGCGGCCAGGAAATATAGATAACGCCCTTCGGCGCATAGAATTAACGGTGAAAAGAATGTACAGGCACCTGACATTTAGTTTTTCCTTGTTTAGAATTCTAAAGCAGAAAAGCAATCAGGAGGAAAATTGAAGGTACTTACAAAAGCCGAGGTAACCTCTTGTGGAGGGATGTGGAAGCCGTGGTCTTGAGGATGGATCGGCGATTCCGCCGTGGCCTCGGGTTCCTCGAGCAGGCGTTTGCCACGGTCGGCTGCCGATGGGCCGACTGGCGCAGCTGCTTCAGTGGAGGCAGGGACGTCCTGGTCTTGAGAAGGAACGAGAGGTTCGGCCGCCGGGGTCGGTTCCTCGACCGTGCGCTTGCCACGATTAGCCTAGGAGGGGCCGGGTTAAACCGCCATCTCGGATACTGGAGGAGTTCGTTGACGAGTAGGAGGACGACGCGCCAGCGGGACCTCGTCGCTCCCCTCACTCTCTTCCAGCACGAAGACCGTGGGCTTTGGATTCTTGGGAGAGGTTTCCTCGGTCGTAGGAACCGCCTGGTGTGAGACAGGTGCCTTCTCGACAGAGGGAGGTACGACTGATTCGCCGGCCACAGAAGCAGACCGCGCTGGGACCGTCTCTATGGCCGAAGCCGGCTGTTTCTTGACCCCAGAATGGCCGGCGGCGGGAGAAGGGGAAGCACTGGGAGTCGTCGTGTGGCTGGAAATAACGTGGATCTCCCGTGCACCTTTCTTCGCCAGTTGCTTGACCCGCTTGGCAGGCGGGGAAGGCTCGATAGCCGGCCCGGCCTCTTGGCGAGGCCGTTTGATCAGCCCGGCCCTACCAGCAGGTTTGTCCTTTTTGGCCACGACCGATTTTTTCCCGGCCATAGCAGCGGCAACTACCTCTGTCTTTCTCAAAGGCCGACTACCTAAAAGTATAAAGACAATTCAGTAAGGCGTACAATAGGCAAGGTTGAAGAAAAAGGGGGAATTGAACAACTACCTTGAGAGTGGGGGGCCGGGGCTTTCTTAGGTCGGTTACCGAAGAGCCTGCTTAGTACATCCTCGACCGGCGCACCGAAGAACTCTTGAGTGTAATTTTCCCACCACTCACCGAAGGTGTCAGTGCAATGGGTTTCTGGGGTGGCCGGTCGTAGGCGAAATCTTTGGCAGTACTCTTGAAACTCCTTCGCGGCAGTCCTGCACTCGTTCTCTGAAGAGCGAGGCTCGCGTCCGCGGCTCAATACTGTGCGGGAAGAGAGAAGGGGGACGGGACAGCCCTGAAGATAGCCGAGCTGACGGGCAAGGAAGTTCGGATGGTACACTTCCCACCCCGACCGTTTCCCGTCGCAGCCGAGAGGAAGGTCGCGAGCAAGCACGAACGACCCCCAGGTTCGGCGAAGAGCAGCGTCCTCCTCTGCCGCCCACGTCGAGGTAGGCAGTCTGATGGAGGGGGGGTAATCGCGACGACGACAAATCAGGAATTCGTCGCTTGAGAGATCGTCAAGGGCAAAGAGGTACCTAAATACCTCTTCGGCCTGATGAGGAGGCGTTGGTCGGGAGGCTAGCTGAGGACCAAGAGCCTCTGTTGCTGAGAAATCAGCTATAGCCGGCCGAAGGGAGGCGAAGTACACCTGCAACCAGAGCTGGAAGACCCAGAGAGGGCCATTCTGGTGGGGGTCCACCGTGTGGAGAGTCGCCTCGGCCAGGCAACGGAAGAGGTGGGCAAGAATATTAGAACTCAGCGCCAGGACGTGACCACTGGCCAGGGCTTCGGCCACTGGCATATTCTCGACCAAACATTTGTTTGATTTGGTACAACAAATGTATTTGTTGTACCAGTAGAAGAGGAAGGCTTCATGCTCTCCCTCTCGCAGGTCCTCTTCCCCTCGACCGGCGAAGTGAAGGTAGAGGGTGTTGTAGTTGAGAAAGTTCTTGTGGAGCTTCTGTATTTCATCCCTCGACGGGATGTGACCGTCACTATTCAGGGTCTCGAAGGCTCGACGGTCGAAGAGCGTCTTCAGATCGATATTCGACGGGTGCCCGGAGAGGGTCGCGTCGATAGGGATCCCGGTGGCCGAGGTCCCCAAAATGGCGGTGATGTCCAGGATGGTGGGACCAATGGGACCAAGGGGAAGGACCATTGTGTTGGTGGCTGAGCACCAGAAGCATAGAGCGGCTAGGAGCAGCTCCTTGTCAGGGACAATGTCCATCGACGAAAGGAGGATGGCGTCGTAGATACCCAGGATTTTCCATTTTTCGCCGAAGAGCCGTTCCATTCGGACAACCCAGGTCGCCCAGGTGGTGGTCGTCGAGGGCCAGGAGCCTTGGGGCTTTGCCGCCTCCCATCTCGACCATTCAAACCCTTGGAGCAAGGGTGTAAGGCAGTGTTCCTGGAGAAGACCAGTGATGGTCGGCGGGATTGTTGCCTTGAAGAGAGGACCCAGGATTTGGTGGACGGTGCTCATGTCGTTCTCGAACCGTATATTCTTGATCGAGCTCCGATCAAGGATCTTCTGATGCTGGTCGCATTCCCGGGAAAGCTTGGAGATGAAGGAGGCCATTGTAAAAGCACAGCGTAAGGAGGTTTTCTGGGTTGGGGATTTGAGGACGAAAACTTGGAATGGAGGAATGCACTTGAGAGCAAGGGTAGGGGATTTCAGGAAGTTTGAGAACGTAAAGTACAAATGAGGAAATTTCGGTATTTATAGAGTAATGGGAGGAAGAGCAATCGTTCGAAATTCAAAACAAAGGGCAAAATCGACCGGAGGAATCGTTGATCATGATGAGCATTTGGGGAATGCGGTTGAGAAGACCGACGGTTTTAGGTTTTGGGGGCGCACGATCGCGTGTGACGGCAAAGTTAATGACGAAAGACGGTTCGACGCCTGCACGATGACAGGAGGGCTCACGGACTGATGAAATGGCTCGCGGATTGAGATAGTGGTCATAATGGCGAGACGGTTCGGGCAGGCGCACGCTTCAGACGTCATTATCGGGGATTGGCCATGTTAGGGGATGCCACGTGGCGAGTGGTTTAGCAGGATCAAGATCGTGCGATCATGTTCAATAAATGCGCCTTGGAACTCGGGTATTGGGATCCTGAGTGGTAGATTCGCTTCTTCAAGGCCGAAACTCGGCCGAAGGTTTCAGGCCGAGGACCTCAAAAGCGAGGGGGCAATGTTTGGGCCCAAAATAACAGTTTGGGCCGAGGGAGGTATCACTTTCGGCCCGGGAAGACGTACGGCGAGAAAGTCATGGGGGCGTTCAGCTCATGGGCTTCTAGGCCTAGATCGGTTAAATCAGAGTGCAAGTCGAGTTCTAATACAATAGGGACCCTCGACGAGACCAGTAAAACTAGAAGGCGAATCCGGCTCAGTTAAGGACTAGATTCGTAGTCCTAGCAGAGATAGGACTGATTGAGGTAACGTTAATCCGGAGAAGGAAACCTAGTTCGAATAGGATTAGAACTCGGGCTCGGTGTTCTGCTACTATAAATACAAGACATTCAGCAATGGAAAAAGCCCACAAAATCAATACAAAATTGCCATGCGCAAACTCTCACAACTTGAGATCTTTTTCTTTTCCTTTTTCGCTGACACATCTTCCGTTGGCATCAACAGCACTGTGGAAGCAACCGGTGATATCTTAAGTCGGCATAGACAGCTCTGTCACCGTAGAGTCGGTCGATCTCGCAGTATCTTCCGTTGGCATCAACAGCACTGCGGCGAGAACGGTCGATTACCTATCCAAGTCTCGGTCGAGAAGGGTTTTTGAATCCTTGTTGGTCGAGGTCATCTCATTAGCCTTCTCGGCGAGGTGAGGTGTCACAGTTATTACATTCGGCACATTGCAAGCCGAATTCGGTTCGTGAACTTTGTAAGAAATAGCAGCCTTGTCTTCAGGCTCGAGAACCCAAGAGGCCGAGACGTGTTCCTTTCTCGGCCGCAATCGCAAGACGCAGAAGTCAGTAGCGCGACCCAACGCAGCATCATCAAATTTACTCCTCGGCCGAGCCTCGGCCGACGAGTTGGCACGCCCCGCAATCACCGAAGGACGTAGTTAGCTTAGAATATACTCGGCCTGCGCGCCACGTAGGCTTTGTAATTTCTAGGGTCAACAATATCACAAACACCTAAAAAGATGACGAGATATCTGTGACCAAATTGATTTTTTCATGATTTTATATGCCTTCTCTGGTTATATATAGATTCCGATCAGGCTCAATAGGTTTCGTGGCTTTTGCTTCTGCTGCTGCTGCTTCTTCTTCTTCTGTGCCACGGCATCAATGGGGTTGGGGTGGAAAGACGATGAAAAGCCACATGTTTTGGCTGTCGATGATAGTTTGGTGGACCGCAAAATCATTGAAAAATTGCTCACCAACTCTGCATGCAAAGGTACTGCTACTTTAAAAGTTACTTGGTCGTTGTTGTTGGGTCATGGTGGTCACTAGAAGGAGAAGAAATTACGTGGAATAGGTCTACCATTTTTCTGGTATCTCGATTCAATAATGTTATGTATAAGTTTATCTCTATTGTCATTGTATTATTAAACTGAAACGTTTAAATAGTGGTAAACCTATTTCATGTAAGTTCTTCTCCATTACGTGATTGGTTAATGAGTCATAGCTTTGTTTTTTAAGGAAAATAAGAAAAAAGAGCCTTACACAACCAAATTAGTACCACTAAATACTCTTAACTACTTAAGTTACGAGTTCGTTGCAATATAGTTTTAGTTATATAAGCTTTTTTTTCTTTCTTTTTTTGCTACAATGAAGGAACCCTAATCTATCTTAATCTTGACTCATTATTGGTATTTTAAGATCAACTAGGAACTCTATGATTTGATATTACTATATGCCATATAGTTTTTCAGAAGATTTTTTTGTTCATTAAGTTGAATGTGTAGTTGTGGGAGGTAATAATATGTGGTTCTCCTTTTGTATATGGCAGTGACTACTTCAGAAAACGCACATGGTGCATTGGAGCTGTTGGGGCTTGCTGATGGACAACAAAACTTCGGCAACATTGTAAGTGGTTTAGTTCTTGAATCGCACCATACAAAGTGATATTCTAAATTACTCTAATTTATCGAGAGAAAATTCAAGAGGGCGACCAAAGTACCGCTTGTTTTTTTTATTTGACTCTGAGATTCAATGCATGTGTCTTGCAGGTTTCGAATGTTAACATGATCATCACTGATTACTCTATGCCGGGAATGACCGGTTATGAGCTTCTGAAAAAAATTAAGGTAATTAATTATGTGACTATTTTATGCTGAAATGTATAGTGCATAATTGAAAAGCCATTTCAATGAATTTTTTTTTTAAATATACAGATGATATTTTACTTTTAAACTAAATTAAATTGGGAGTAAAATTCAAACTCGAGTGCATAAGATCTGGTAAACAGGTCATGCTTGTCGTGTTCGTGTCATACCCGTTATCTTTACGGATCATATCCAAGGAAGAAAATATCGGTAATATCGGAAATATCGGTAGTCCGAAAACACGGAAATATCGATGGAAATATCGGGATAATATCGATATCGATAAAAATTACATGGAAACCACGGAAATTGTAAGAAAAACTTGGAAATTTTTAATGAAACTTTGTAGGATGTTTATTTAGTCAATTATCTATTAGTTTATCACAAAAAATTGGAAGGAAATGCATTGCATGATGGATTTAACTGATTTAAGTTGATTATATAGCGAGCTGACAAACATTGTGAGTGTAGAAAATATGTAGTAATTAATGAAAGAAGTTTAAACACACCATAATCATTTATATATAATTAATTAGTACAATATTTGGAGGTTTTATTTAGGATATTAAAAAAAAAAAGGGAAGTTAATAAAATGATGAAGAATAATGTGCCGAATTTGACAATTTAAATTTCTTACACATAAGCATGCGTCTAGGCGTTGAAGTTCCAAATTATAGTATATCAATTAACGATTGAAAATCAATACATTAAATAAGATTAAACTTTAATTTGGATGCCGATTATGTTTTTTCAACTTGATATAAAGTAAAAGTATTGAATTTTGGAAGCTAGGAGTGTGTCAATTGAATTTTGGCTGACTTGCAAGGTATCAATCTCTTCGTCTCTTCGAGGGCTACAACTTTCCTTTTTGTTTCACTCAATTTCGTTGCGTATTGAAAAAGTTATACTCATTTGAATCTTACCCAGTTTCCGGCGACCTCAGTAGATTTCGAGGCAATTTCCGGCCAAACCACAACGAGTCAGACGTCGTGTGAGGTACCATTCTCTTCGTCTCTTCGAGGGCTACAACTTTCCTTTTTGTTTTACTCAATTTCGTTGCGTATTGAAAAAGTTATACTCATTTGAATCTTACCCAGTTTCCGACGACCTCAGCGACCTCAGTGACTTTCGAGGAATTTTCCGGCCAAACCACTACGATTCAGACATTGTGTGAGGTACCATTCTCTTCGTCTCTTCGAGGGCTACAACTTTTCTTTTTGTTTCACTCAATTTCGTTGCGTATTGAAAAAGTTATACTCATTTGAATCTTACCCAGTTTCCGACGACCTCAGCCACCTCAGTGACTTTCGAGGCATTTTCCGGCCAAACCACTACGATTCAGACATAGTGTGAGGTACCATTCTCTTCGTCTCTTCGAGGGCTACAACTTTCGTTTTTGTCTTGCTTGATTTCGTTGAGTTTTGACAAAGTTATGGCCGTTTAAAGTGGGTGTAAAATTTCGGCCGAAATTTTGATTTTTTCCCCATTGGGCGAGTCCCACATCGCCCATGCAAGGAAGTGAGCAATGAATTTTTCCTATAAAACTCACACTCCCCTGGTGAGATAACCAAAACTTGTTTGGCCTTTGGGCCATGATCAAGTTAATTATGTGTTGAGTTTTTTCAACATATTTAAGTATTTTTTTAATAAAATATCGCGATATTATCGATAATTTTGAAAATATTGCGATATTATCGATAATATCGTGATATTTTAACGAAAATAGATTGGATAGTTAAAAAATTTCGGAACCTCAAAATAACGATAATATCGGCGATATTTTGCAGATATTATCGATTTTTTCCTCCTTGATCATATCATGTCAAACCCGTTATCTATTCAAACTCGAGTGTATAAGACCTGGTAAACAGGTCATGTTTGTCGAGTTTCTAACAGATAACCCGATAACAACCCGACTTGTTAACGGGTCGAGCCGAAACCTATTATTTTTTTGTCGATTCATATTGGGTTAATGCGATGTGCAAAAAATTGTCAAAGCCTAAGCGGGAGCACATCTACCTTCTAATTATGGCTTTAACTAGAAAATTTATCTAACCCAGCCAATCTCCCTCTTTAAACAGGATTCGCCAACCGTGAAGGAGATACCAGTAGTTGTTGTATCATCTGAGGACATACCTACTCGAATCGAGAAGTAAAAATCTTCCCCTAGAAATCTCAATGTATTTATTTATTTTCTAATTTTGAGGAAATGTATAGCAGTTTACTGATCCCTCAATTTTCTTGACCTGAATAGGTGCCTTGAGGAAGGAGCCGAAGAGTTCTTTCTGAAGCCTCTCCGGCAATCGGACGTCATAAAATTGCAATGCCGTTTGAAGGAATTCGGAAACCCTAGCGATGAAGGGGAAGATGACCTCTATAAGGACATTTAATATACAAGAACAGAATCCCAAAAGGCTAACATTTATACCTATCAACACTTCAGTCCTGTTTGATTCGTCAAACACTTAGATACACAATGTAACCGTTGTTAATTTCTTTGAATCATATTACGATCCGGGGTTTTTTGCCTTCTGCTCCGTTTTGCTACTGTAAAACGTAAATCTACTAGACCGGTATGATATGCATTACACATCCGAAAATGATGTTTACAACGAAAATGTACCGTGCAGTTTGATTCAACAGAATCCTCGCGTCAAAGGGAAGTCAGCCGCGGCTGCCATGTCGCAAACATGTTATATCTTCTTTATGCCGTTGTGTGCAGCTGCCTCCTTCAGTACCTTCTGCACACAAAGAAACTGAACATAGCTCTGAAGCATCATCACCCGACAGGACGAGTCAACAAAATCACTTTGCTGTTTACTTTCTTTCTTCGTTTCCTGAGGCTCAGCCTCTTCCATTTCTGTAAAAAAACAAGCGAACGAAGCATATTAGTCTGCAACAAAATTGAGAAACAAAACGAAACAAACATTTGCTGAACCTTTGTTGGCAAGAAACTAAAGGGAAGTTCAAGACAGTTAAGAAGAAACATGTACCTCCGTTGCTTTTTAGACATGGGATAGGAATTTCGTTACCACAGTAATCCCTGTCAACAACGAAAACCTTTTAGTACAAACATAGAATAGGTTGTAAGACTCAAAGAGTTGGGGAACCAAACATATAAACTCGAGGGAGAGAAAATACTTCAATGTTTGTGTCACATACTCTTTCTTTTCTATTATGCTTCTATATTTCGCTGGAGAGTTCATAGATGACGATGTCTTCTCAGCCCGCTCAAGCAAGGTTGGTTTTACGCTTGCTGTTAGTCCCGAAGCTGCATCTTTTACTTCCTCACATTCACTGTCCTTGTTCCATCGTTGATTTTCTGTGAACAAATTGTTCAGAATACAATGTTCTTCCTCCAGCTTAGATTTTCGGCATGGCTGCGATTCAGCTTTTCCTCCCTCATCTTTGCTGACACTTTCCTGCGCTGATAAATCCAGAGATGGTGTCTCGCCATGAGAGTAAGGGAACTCTGGTTGTCTTGGTCCAAAACCAATCTTAGGGGTCATAGGAGAGTCATGAAATTCAAAGTTCCCAGAAATCAAACTGCCGGAAGGTGAACTTGCAACAGGTTCGCAGGGTTTAAAATGAGATATAGGATTGAGATGTAATTCTGGGACAGGACTTGCACTGAAAGGATCTCCAAACAAAATTTTAGAGCCTGCAGATGGGCAGTTTGTCTCTGACTTTTGATGGAAAGAACTGCAACCTGAATTATTGTCAACCGACAGATATCCTTCCTCAGGGAACCAATTGCTGTTTGGGGTAAACTTTTCCTGGAGAGGAGAGTTTGAGTGGTGGAATGGTTTGAACTTCGACGAATCTGGCATCTTCGTGCATTTTCCTGACCCATGTGCAATATCCTCTGGTTGAACAACATGCTTGCTTTTGATCCGTGTCTTTCCTGTAGAAGTTATATTCAAATGATATCCTGGGTCAGCGTATGCATTGTCGTATCTTCTCTTGCTCCAATTCCTGGTTGGCTTTGACAGTGAACTATCAATCGCATTGTCCCTCACTGACGTTAAAAAATGGAAAAGGGAGCAATTTATTATGAGTAAAGGTTATCATATTGGCAATAGCAGCAATTTATTATGAGTAAAGGTTATCATATCGCCACATATTTTCGATCAATAGATATACCTGCACTTGATGAGCAAGACTCTTCACTGTTGAAAGACACAGAAGGTTATGAAACATATGACTGTATGAGTCAGAGTAAGAGGTGGGGGAAGAAAATCAATGTGAAGCAAAAGAGTGCCGCTAATTACCTCAGCAAGCTCAAATTGTCCCTTTCATTTTCATTCATAAAGCAAGACCAATCGGGTTGCCTGGTTACACCACCAAAATCAAAATTCCTTCCTACTGCGTGGTGTCTGTCTAACATCACAAGCAGACACCCTTGAGTTTATGTCTACATTACGGATAGAAATTTAGCTCAGTCCGAAGGCGTACCTTGCTCCATTGGGAACCATAAAATCATGATACTTTTCTGATTTTTGGTGCTTGAAATATGAAGGTTCCTCTGATAAGAGAGAAGCGAGCAAAGCATCAGACAAAAATCCATAGATGAAAGCAAACAATTCCATTTCATATAAAGCTAATACATCACAGTTTTAGCACAACGTTTCCATGTAAGCTCTTTCATAACATGGTCTAAGAAATGGACAACTCACAGCTTAATCCTACCATGCAATGCCGATGGACCAATCAAAAACAATTTCAGGATGCAAAAGTTCTAGTATATAATATATAGGTAATGGCTTCTTGAACCCAAACAATTTGTATTTTTATATATGCACACAGCTACACATAGGCCAGTTAAGGGATTCTACACGCATAGTTCAATTAGGAGTTTCAGACAGAGAGCACCTAAGACGTCGAACTTGTGTGTGATGCCTGTAGCAGACCTGTACAGATGCCACAACTCTATCAAGAAGATATGATTTCTCAAAACAGGATAACTGAAGAAGTAGAAATTAATTAAGCACCTTATCGGTGAAAAGGGTCCTTCAAAAGCAAAATCTGACATCTTGTACTTTTCGTGCATCAAATTATCATCAGAAACACAGTTCATTTGACTTTGCCAGTTCTTCCATGATAAATCATGTTCCCATTCATTAAAAGTGTATTCCTCTGGGAAACAAGGCCGACCTGGTAGACAACTAATAAGTCATATCATCCTATATTTGAACCCTATCAGAAGGCCATTGGTCCAGCAGAATGAAGAGTACTAGTATAGTTAACCATCATAATGTAAATAACAGAAAGATCACAGATAACTGATTACATTTCTTTTCATGGACTCATTTACTTGCTACGGAAATGAAAACAAGCATATCTCAGAAAAAATTACTAGTATTTTTTTGTTGCGGTTACATGCTACTAGTAAAGTTCATATCATGTTGAATATAATATATGCACTGTTCTCATGACTCATTAGAAATCAAAAAATCAAAGATCATATTTCCAAAAGTAAAATTTCACCAGATTTTCATGCAAATTGAACCTAGAGATCTAGAATAAATAATTACATGGAGCAATGTTAGATAACCCATAGGGAATAGGTCAACAATGCATATCAGGCTAACGGAAATGATGCTATGTTAGATATTACATTCTCTTGCAATGTGTCAACTGTAATAAAGGGCACATTATCACTCAAGGAAGAAGTATTTACCATCCCATTTATCTTTTCTGAAATTTTCAGCATCGTCAAAGATTCTTCTGCATCCATAATAACTATCTAATCTACCACTGTGACCATCATCCTTTGATAGAGTTTGCTTTGAACTACTGAATGAATCCATTGGATCAGGAGAAAACTCTAAAGCACTGCTATATGGGGGAATATTGATATCTTGCATCATTGCATCCTGCATCAGAAGAAACTAATTTATACCCAAAGAAGAGAGCATAATCTAGCCCTTCCAAAAGAAAATTTTAAATGGGTCGTACAGGATAAAGATTCTAAACAAGGGTTCTTATATCAGAGAGATATAAAAGTGACTGCACAAATAAGTCACTTAAGAGTTAAAGTGCATGGAAAAGTTAAGATTACACGATAAGAATTCAATCAATAATGCCTCTCACCATTTCAATTTCAAAGTCATCCAGATGCTTACGACTGTTGAATGATTTTTGTCCCCTGGCAGGATTCAAGGGTGAAGAGCAATCATAGGAGAATGTTCTACAATCACAAAAATTTAAGCCATGTGCAGACAAAGTTAGAATCTTCTTTTAAATTTGGAGTCCCCACTTTTGACCAAAAATGTATAAGTTCCACTAATTACATGTCTTTTGGCATTTAAATATAACATTTCCATGAAATTGGTGAAAGCCATTCATGGAAAATAAGAAATATTTGACAAGTGTAGCATCCTAGATAGCAACAACCTTAGCTGACCGAACTACAGTTGGGATCGTTACCTTCCAGGCTGTCTTGGTGAATGGACTGGTGTTTCCATTCCCATTTTACCCAAACCTGACAAGTAAGGATGTGCAGTGAAAACACTTTATCAACATCAGGAGAAAAAAATAGCAGGCACTGTTTCTCATGGACCCAACAGCTTCATTAAGAAGGGATGGGAATTACACGATGTCAATTGTTTGACAAACAATTATTTTAGTATATTTTTTATTGTTTTTCAAGTAAAGAAGCACTACAACCTATGACACCTGCATCTTACTTCCAGAGAGTTGGGAATAACCTTATGAAGCAACTCTTCCAATTAAAATTCAAATTGAGCTTTTAGTCATAAGTATAAAGGAAAACTCAAAATTTGAGCAACACAATGGTGGACAGTAGTTCGTGTTGTATAAATGAATACGAAATAGAAGATATTACTTAAGGATCTGAATTAACAGAATTATACCTTCAACTGAAAATGCAACATGATCTTCATGTACTGGGCTTTCTTTTACGTAGTCATTCAACCCATCATCGCCAAGAAAATCAAGTACAGAACATTCTGAAACAGAAAGGAACAATTTATGAAGAAAAGCTTCAATACTCAGGGATTTATATAAAAACCAGAAATAACAAGGAAGTGGCTTTCAAGGCCCTATGGCAAGGTTCTACTGACAACCAACTTATAAACTGTTTTCGCTAGCTAAATCTGTAAGGACAGATACCAAAAGTTAGAAAGTAAGAAAGTTCAAAACTGACAAGGAAGTGGCTTTTATACTTACGCTGCTCAGTGCCTGCTCTCCAGGTGTCTGGTTTAGAATTAATTTCATTGAAGGACTTGTCATGATTATGCGGAGCACAAAGCTTAACCCTGTGATGCAAAATAATATATCAATTCTCCACTGGACAAAGATGCACTCTAGCAAAACAATCACACATGGAAGCAACTATGCACACCATTGTGATCACTATTATCAATTTACCAGCAACAAGACCACAATCTATATGTACAAAGTCAACTGACTGTTTATAGTGAAACTGAAACCACTTGAAATCAAAGTAGCTTGGATTTATTTATTCAGTTACAAGTAAAAATAAGGCTTTAAAATGAGTTTGGAGAGATATAGGTATGTATGGGTGTGATGATATTCCACAAAAAGTACACATATGCGTGCGCGCGCACACACACACACATCACTCACTTTTTCGGAGATGCAATCTCCACTTGAAGGCCTGATTCAGCTCCTGTATCATCATATAAAAATAATCCATTAAAACATAGTGTATCCATTAAAGAAGTACAGACGGAGAAAAGTTAAGATGGCAAAACAGGATGGAGGTACGGGATGGGGAAGAAAGGGCCCTAAAAGTTAAGAAAATAAAGTAGAAAGCATACTTGCTTTGTTAACTTCAACAGAGGTGAGAGGAGCAACCATCTTTGAAGGTACTTTTGGTGAATCCTTTGTGATATCACACTTCGGTCTTAAAGCCTTGACTTCAAGATCTTCCCTTCCTTATATGGTTGCAAAAGTGACAAACAGAGGGAAAGAGAGAAAATAGTTTACTTATTGAAAATAGTCACAATACCAAAGCTAAAGAGTAAAGCTCAATTAGTTTTAATTGCAGGGTCCTATCACAGACCATATAAAATCTGGGAGAAATGAAAAATGCTCCTACGGACTTCCCGAATTTTTAAGATATTAGGAACTTACGAATAGGGTAAGAAGATTTGTGTTCTTGAGCAGTTGTTGATAGGTTCAGCAAACTGAGAATATCCAAAGATCGATGTTCTTTGTGATGTTGTTCAGATATGTTTAGGCCATCTGCGTAACTCTCTAACCCAGTTGTTTGCCCCTGACGCTGTTGTTGTCGTCTTCTTTGTTCAAAGTACTGCTTTTGCCTTGACAATCCAAAGGATGGTCATAAGACTCAGAACATATCGATATGCTACATCTAACAGAATATAAACTTTAAGTCTTAAAAGTTAGAACCATATGCTCAACAGCATTATTCTTCTGGAAAAATTGCACCAAAATTTACATACAGTTCGATAGCAAAACGTTTTGTATAATAACCATTTAATTTTACATTTCAATTACTAATGTTACATCGGTGCTACAAAATCCTTATAGATGCAATATGTGAACTTTTGTTACTGATAAAAACAAGTCTTGTGTACCTCTGCTGTGTAGACTTCCTTGACTGAAGTTTCCCCGATTCAACCAAAGAGGTAACAAGCATGAAACAAATGCTAAAATGTCAGAACAAAATTTCAACCTCCCATTTTCGGAATCCAGGATATGCCGTGAAAGATTTAAAATTAGAACATGAATCCGAAATAATTTTAAATCACACTTACAGTCGTTACTTTCCGCCTCGATCCTCCCATCCATTGCAACATATTGAAAAAATCAATCTGAAAATTTCACTCCCAAGGGTTAAAATGGAACAGTAATTAGTATGTGAAGCATTATTTGAGGAAGACACACAAATGTCCCAACACATACAGAATAATGGAAATGGAAAACAAAAACCCTGAAAATTGAGCCAAACAACGATCAAAATGCACAAATTTTCTATGAAACGATCAAATTACTCAGAAATAAACATTGAATTCTTGAAATCGCAAACAGAATCTCAACTCGATCACAGACTAAGGTTGAATTCCTAAGAAGCACTTCCTAGTTAACCAAACTTAAACCCTAAGAGAGAGAGAGAGAGAGAGAGAGAGAGAGAGAGAGAGAGAGAGATGCACCGATTCACCTGAAAAACTCGGGATTGCTGGTTGCTGAGTGAGCGAGCACCGATTCGGTAATTTGGAGGTGCCGCTGCAAATTTGGAGGTTTTAATTGCTTTTTTGAAATTGAAAGAAAACGAAGGTGGTTTGGTGACGATGAATCGACGATTGTGATCGAAAGCAATCGGAGCCAACTGCAAACTTTGTTTCCGTTATTTTTGGCGCGTGTTTATCAATGAAAATATGAAATATGTACGGTCACGACGTCAAGTTGGGTTGTGGATCCAATCTCATCTGGGTTGGGCTCAGCACGAGTTGGGCCAACTTAAGCCCAACCTGATTTCTCCTTGTCTATATTCTTTCTTGGTGTTTATGTTGCTAGTTGCTACTCCCAACTTGAAACAATCATGCATATGCACTTTGCTATGGATCAATTATAACCAATTTCCTTTCTTCCTAATAAAAATTATTTTATCCACTAACGTTATCGCTCTAGCAAAAAAAATTATTGGCTCCAAAATACTTGTAGGATTTTGATATAATTTGAATATAATTAGTTACACATTCCACCAAATTTTGGAGATCAAACTAGTCCATAGAAGAATTAAGATTAACTTTGTGCTGGTTAAGAAAACCTCTATGTTGGGCAACCATATTGACGTGGGAGAATGAAATAAGCTACACAATAAGCCAACAATAATTCAGCATCAAACTCGCTAGGCCGTGAGATTAGTGATAATTCTATTTTTAATTATAAAAATTAAAAGAATGTTTTGTTATGTTTTGTTTATGCATATTACCTATTGAAAAATATAAAAAAAAACCGAATTAATTTTTTGTTTTGACAAACGACATTTATTGGGTTAAACATTTATATGTTAGGACGGAGGGGATTGATGGAGATTGAACCCGCACCAAAATACACAGACATAATTACTTTCTACCGGTACAGTAAAACACGATCCACAAAAATTTAATTATGCACTTTAAACTTCCATAAAGTTCAACTACTACCCCAATACTAAGCCCAACAAAATCGTTCCTACATTACTGAGCTTGGGCCCCAACCCCAAAATCTCCCCAGAGGCCAGAACACACCAAACCCAAGGGTAGTCCCGTTAATTAACAGAAACAACCGTGGCCCCATCGTAATTTGACACACCATCAACATCGCATAAATCCTAACAAAACAGATCCCAACCCAACCCTATAAATATGAGAACAAGAGAAGCACTCCATAACAGCGGAGCGCGGCTCCGAAAGCTTTCTCCCATATATTTTTTCCGACCCTTTTGTTTTGGTTTTTTGCATTCGAATTCTTTGGATTTTAGTTTCCATCATTCGTATCCTTTGAATTTTAATTTTTATCATTTGAATCCTTCGGTTTCAGTTGTACAATACATGAAATCGTGATTTTGTTTCGGTTTGTTGGGTGTTAATTAGGGTTTACAGATCCGTGGCTAATAGTTTATGGAATCCGTGCACAATAAGCCGATGCTCTGGAGTAAAAAGGAATGAAGGAAGCATGGTTATGTGCACGGAAATTGAATTGCGAAGGGTCCGCACGTCTGCTCTCTCTGACTCTCTGATTTGAGGGCCTGGTTACAACCTACATTTTTTCTTCCTTCGTCTTTTCTTCTCTTTTTCCTTGTTACCAATCTCGAATTTTTCTGCTTTTTTTAGCCCTTGAATCGAGTCATTGTTTAAAAAGTGCTTCTATGGAAAGCACTTGTATAAAAAATTTAGAAACAATGTCAAAAAAATTAATTAAAAACTGTACGGGGACGTGTTTTGTGAAGCAATTTTTTTTTTGTTTGTTCAAACATTATCGAAAAGTGCTTTTGATTGTACGTAGCATATATAATATCCAAAGTGTTAATTTATTTGTCGTATTTTTTGTTGAACATTGAAACATAGTAATTACTGTCACGTTAACTAATCCGTAATTAGAACAAGTAGAATTGAATTGACTAGAAATTGGATTGTTGAGGAGTTTGAATGAATTATATTTATGTTAAAATTGTTTATTAAACTTTTTTTGAAATCGGAGTTAGAATTGTACCTCTCACTAACTCAATCATGCTAAATGAATTATTTTTTAAAATTATATTTAATAAATTACATAACATGCAGTTAATGATTGAATTTTGGTATGGGATACAAAAATTCAAAACCGTGATCAAATAAATCATAATCAGTTTAGTACTTGGTCTGCACTCGGGGGGAGACGATCCTTAGGTTCTTAATCCACTGATGAACTCAAATCACTTATGTAAATATGTCAGGCATTAAGAATTTAGTGGAAAATCCCCCTAAACCATCACATGTCTACTCAATGGACAGCACCAATCATGATAAAATTAGGTTAAGTGTGTTTTAAGTCAAAGGTTGGGTTGAGCAAACCACATGGTCTATGGATTAAATTCAAGTACAGGGGAAAAGGTTGGTAGTGAAAAGAGAATCATAACGTGAAACGATGTAGAGGGGTTGGTGGCGAGAACGACCGGCTTAGTGGGCATTTCGTCTCCCGATGAAAACTTGTATCGATATGTGAGTTAGGTAAAGGGTCGGAATTGAATGACAGGTCCCTAACTTCAAACCCCCAAATTAGGAAAGGGATCATCTCCGCGAGAAATTTTTTGTGACGGGAATATAAATGGTACATCACGTATTTTAATAGAAGTGGTGGAAAATTTTATTTTTTAAGTTATTAACTTTTTAGCACACATATCCCACCATTTGTATAGTGACATGTACCATCCCCGTACCAATCACACTGAAAAATCTCTTACATCTCTTCCATCAAATCCACCTAATCAATGAATTTGGATTCTAATGCCCCAATTATATATATATATATATATATAGACACACACACATATTCTTGTGGGGCAAAGCTCATTATTCGAACATCAAGTATAATACTATCAACAAAAAACAAACTCATCAAAACTAAGATATAAATACTTAGGGCCTAATCGGATAAACAATATTCGTGGTGATAAGGTAATCGGAAGATAGCCCTCGTGGTAAAAAAATTAGGATTTAAACCCTCGTGGTAGAGTTTGTTAGCAAATTTAGTCTAAAATTAATTTTTCCGTTACTTGTCTGTTAAATACAGGGATAAAAATGTATTTTAACGTATACGCCTTCTTCTTCCTCCCTCTGCGTTTCATCTGTTTATATCTTAAAACAAGGGAGTTTTAACGAAAAGTCCACGGTACTGTTCACTTTAACGAAAAACCACATTTTTACACTAAAAAGTCAAACCTGGTATTATTCACTTTACCATTTATTTTGTCATTATTATTAAAACTTATAGTTTTCAACCCCTTTTCATTAGTTTTATTTTAAAACAACCCCTTACCCAGTGGCGGAGCCACCTTTAGACTAGGGTAGGCTCGAGCCTATCCTCAAATAATTTTTTTCCTGACAACCTCTACTAACATTAATTAATTTTATAATACCACTATCAACTTGAATTTGTAATTGTATTAGTTAGTCCAATTAACTTCAATCCAACACATACACAGCCTTCAATTTTTAACATTAGAGATTTGAAACTATAGTTATATACTAATATTAGTTGATCATATTCTCTATTTCTTGCCCATATACAATTTTTCCCTTTGCTTGCAGACTATTATTTTCGTTAATTTCACATTTCCCTCTATTATATCATCTATGAAATCAAGAAGAGAAAAATATTTCCTTTTTCCAAATTAGCACAAAAAACCTTTCAAATGCTCTCATGTCTTAATGTTTTTAGAAAAATGTTTTCTTGGTCGCTATGAGAAAATGAATGCATGGTCAGTCACCTTTGAATTTAATATCAAGAATGAAGAATACATGAATGTGCTTTTAATAATGTTTTAACTCTTGATATAGTTGCCCATTTATAATGAAGAATAAATGCATGGTTACTCACTTTTAAATTTGATACCAAGACGACCAAAAGAACAAGATAGTTTCTACATGTATTATGTCCATTTTGATCTAAAGTATGCCCCTCCTAACATGAATTTATGGCTCCGCCACTGCCCCTACCAGAAAACCACATAAAATAAACCATGATCATTAATCTCTCAGCTTCTCCACCCTCCTCTTCTTTCTTTCTCATCAAGTTATCCAATTCCAAATCACCCATCTCTGATTTTCCATCAAAACCCAAAACCTCTATCTCCTTCCATTTGCTGCTCATTTTCTTCACCAAACCTTGGTTTTCACTGCAAGGATCGATTTTTCATTGAAAATGGCAGGTGCCCACATGGGAAAAGGTTCAAGTTTAGGACTTGTGCGATTCCTGGGTTCAACTCTGGCAACTTTGAAAGTGCTCAGTCGGTTTTGGAGGCGGCTGCTGTGTTAACCCCCATAATTGTTGTCCATGAGAACGGTCACTTTGTTGCAGCTTATCTCCAAGGCATCCATGTAAGCAAATGGAATAAGATGGAGGTTTTGGGTGGTGGGTTTTGGGATTTGATGGAAAATCGGAGATGGGTGATTTGGAATTGGATACCTTGATGAGAGAAAGAATAGGAGGTTGGAGAAGTTGAGAGATTAATGATCATGGTTTATTTTCTGTGGTTTTTTTGTAGGGGTTGTTTTAAGATATAAACAGATGAAATGCAGAGGGAGGAAGAAGAAGAAGGCGTACACCTTAAAATACATTTTTATCCCTATACTTAACAGACAAGTAACGGACAAATCAATTTTGGACCAAATTTGCCAACGGACTCTCCCACAAGGGTTTAAATCCTAATTTTTTTACCACAAGAACTATCTTCCGATTACCTTATCACCACGAGGACTGTTTATCTGATTAGGCCAAATACTTATTAATAAAAAGAAATTTATTACTTGAACCTTCCATTAATTCGAAGTTCATAAATCTAAGTAAACAAAGAACAAGAACGAAAAAAGTTGATAAATTTACATTTTCACAACCCAAACATCATATTTCATAGAATCAAAATCTTACTCCCCAAGCATCAATCTACGCCCTCGGCTTCATCACAATGGTGGAGTGCTTCAGGATGTGCAGGCTGAATTGTCCACCTTTCTCCGAGGTGTCGAGCTTGGACTGTCCTGGCGGAGGCAGAAGCTCGAAGTTCTGGACTAAACGTCCAATTGTAATGCCCAGGATTGGCAGTGCCAAAATAATCCCAGGACAACTTCTCCTCCCAACACCAAACGGGA